GAAGAATGCTTATTATAGATTTGTTGACTAATGGACAATGTATATCCGTAAGATAAACACACACACGTATATAAAAGAAATATAGTATATTAAAAATTAAAAGTGAAAATATTTTTCAAATCGTAGTTAAATAAAACGTATTCTAACCTAAACACCCCACCAAAAATCTTTAAATATACAAATAGGAAAAAATACCGTAAGAATTTTTGCCGTTAAAAATATAATTTTTCAAAAATCCAGACGACATGCATTTAACGGATGTCAGAATTCATTGAAAAATACATCTCTACCCCTACCAAAACGTAACTAATAACTGATACATCAAAATACAGATATAATGAACACGCAAACACCCCTTGTCTGGTTGAATTGGATTTCTCTGTATCCTTGGAAACGTGAATTATGATTTTTGCTGTGTCTTTAAAACCCAGTAATTTTAAAAGTTACTCCAAAATTCGCTTGAGGATGAAATGGAATTAATGTCTTTAATTTAATTACAAAATTAAATTCGGAGCTTTCAGCTTCATTTTTGAAACATGGTTAGAACTGTGTAGCGAAAAAAAACATATTTTAAATCAATTAATTTATAATATTAATGCACTGTAAATTTACATTGAGCACTATTTTGTAAAAATAAAAATATCTGTAAGAACACTGGATTATATATCTTACTGTTCTTTCTTTCTTTCTTTATATATATATATATATATATATATATATATATATATATATATATTATGAAATGGGTTAAATCCAGTAATCATTTAATATATTTTCTGTTTATACGCTATTTTTATAAATATAATTTATTTAAATAAATACTCTATTTTAAATTAAATAATATTAATTACATCTGCCGGCCTGAATGTTCGAGACATTTTGTGTAAAATATGCGCTCTCTGACAGGAATCGAACCTGTAACCCTTACGGAAACTGTCATATAGCCTGACTTGCTGTTACCATTCAGTCACAGAGAAGCGTCTGGTTAGCAATGTCCGAATTAATGTAGTAATATGCTGTCATTGTTTACGTTAAGCTATGTTTCATGAACAGGAATGATCGATCGAATAAAATCGTTGAAGTTGTATGTTCATAAACAGCAATTTGGACTTTGCTACATTCTGAAGAGACGTGCCACTAAAAACGTTTGGAGGCGTGGAAAGCGGAATCGACGAGCCGAGTTCAGATTCTGACCGAATCATCTGCGTTCACTTTCGCACATATATCTTTGAGGGCCACATTAATTTATCCTTTTCTTCCATCTATGAATTAAATAAGAAGGTAAACAGTGTTCCCATGACTTGTGCAGTAAAGAGGCTAAGAGGAGGACAAGTAAGAATTGCAAACTTTGGAGAAGACAATGGGAGACTACTCCACTATCTTTCCAAAGATTCCATGACAATTCACAGATAATAAAGAAAATGAAACAATGGGGAGCCTTAATTATATTCGTGCTGAAGCGACAAGGCTTTAAAAATAAACAATAAACTACTTTATTGGCGCCGTTTCAAAAGATTTTTAGAATGTACTTATAAAATGGTGGTTAAATTTAACCGCTAAACATCCTGTAAAGATCAGTTTAATGTGTCAAATGAAAACGGATAAAACATTGCGAGCTTTTTTTTTTTTTTTTTTTTTCATTTTCTTTGGAGTTGACAGTAAAAATTCTATCCGGGTCACGAAAGGAAAATCTGCGAGACTGATAGCGCAATTTGAGCACAAAAGCTATTTTGAAATAAGTCCAAAAATTGTCTGATTCTTTTTTTTTTCACGTCATAAATAGTATAATGTCCGTCAATCTCCGTAAGGTTCGTGTCATTTGGAGACGTCTTCTTATTTTATTATTTGCTAATTATATGAGATTTCAGCTAGGGTAACACCCATATCGGATGGCATCTCCAAACAGCGGGCAATATCTCTGTCTCTCTCTCACTCTCTCTCTCTCTCTATCCCTCACACACACACACACAAACACGCGCGCCCAAACACACACATTCTTTTCATATCTATCTATCTATCTATCTCATTTTATTCACTATCAATCTATCTCATTTTATTATCTATCTATCTATCTATCTATCTATCTATCTATCTATCTATCTATCTATCTATCTCTATCTCATTTTATTCATTATCTATCTATCTATCTATCTATCTATCTATCTATCTATCTATCTATCTATCTCATTTTATTCACTATCTATCTATCTATCTATCTATCTATCTATCTATCTATCTATCTATCTATGTGGATATAGATAACCACTAAGTTCTTGGTCTTTGAGTGAGATTAACTAATTCTTACCACTTAAGCCACCATTTCTTTCTCTTTACCACTTTTTTATCATTGTTTCAAAAAATGTTTTTACACCCATTCCAACTCTCTTTACCCACAAGTCTTCCCCCCGCTCTTTATGGTCCTCACCTCCTCCTTTTAGAGACGCTCATATTCCCACATACATTCACCTGATTATAAAGAGAATAGCGGTAGACAAAATCAAGGATATCTTTTGCATATATTGCAATCCAATTTGTAGGCTTTTGGGTTCCGAAGCGAGACGACTTAACAGATGTGACTGAAGAAGGCAGCATTCATTCATTCATTCTTCTTTTTCTTCTTCTTCTTCTTCTTCTTCTTCTTCTTCTTATTATTATTATTATTATTATTATTATTATAATTATTATTATTATTCAACATTCTTCGTTTTTCTGCATCGAATTCTTCATATTTCTTGATATTTCTCCTTATCGCCTTCTAAATTTTTTTATCTAGTTTTTCTTCCGATTCTTCTTCTTCTTCTTCTTCTTCTTCACTTTTTTTTTCATTCTTTCTCTTGTTGGTATTCTAGTTCTTTCTTTTCTAAGCATTCTTCAGTTTTTTCTTCATTGTATTTCTTCTTCTTCTTCTTCTTCTTCTTCTTCTTCTCTTCACTTTTTTTTTCATTCTTTCTCTTGTTGGTATTCTAGTTCTTTCTTTTCTAAGCATTCTTCAGTTTTTTCTTTCTTGCTTCTTTTTTTCTTTTACTTCTTTCTTGCATATTTCCATCATTTTTTCATTCTTTTTCTAATGATTCTTCTTTCATTCTTCTCAACCCTTTTTCTTTCTTTCTTTCTTTCTTTCTTTTCGTTATTTCCAATTTCTTTCTTTCTTTCTTTCCTATTTCTAATTCTTTCTTTCTTTCCCATTTCTAATTCTTTCTTTCTTTCTTTCTTTCTTTCTTTCGTTCTTTCTTTCTTTTTCTGCTTCTCACCCGAGCTTTTCTTCTCTTTCATCTTGTTTCTTTTTCCCGTTTTTTCTTCTTTTTCATAATCCCGCCCCCAATTCTTCATTTCCTTCTTCTAACAGTCTCCTGCATGTTTTTTATTCTTCTTTATACGTACCAGGTATAAGCATTTGTCTGGCGCAGCGCTTCTCAATTCTTAGCCCATTTATTGATTCACAGGACATTTTCCTTGATTTAATTTGTCTTTATAACATTGACAAAAGAAAAAAAAAAAAAAAAAAAGGATTATGTTGTGGTGTCCTTCCTCTTAAGAGTCTGCGTTAGACTCTTTCGCCTACTATAAGATTAGTAGGAGAGAAGGTTCGGGGATTTGTGAAAAGATTGAGCGCTGGTTCATTCGATACACTCTCACTAGTCGTGTAATATTCTTCTGGTGCACTTACACTTTAATATACGATGTATCTGCAAACCTGTGTTTTGTTATAACTTAACCATTTATTTGGTCGCAACAGATAAAAAATAAAAAAATCTGATGTAGCAATTATCTTTTTTCGTTCTGTTTTACATTTATATTATAAATATATGATATTGGTTAATTATGTTTATATAAGATATAATATTTATAGGTATATGATATTGGTTACTTATGTTTATTTTTTACATTTGAATTTAGAATTTTTTGTGTGTAAATTAAAACTCCCCGATGAAGTATTATAAACGAACAGTATGAATTTTATTTAGCACTAGCAGTAGAGCCCGGCGTTACCTGGGGATGTAACAGTAAGAGATAGATCAAGTATTGACCATCATAAAGACTGAAAAATAAAATTGACAAAGATTATTGTTTAAGGTTGACGGACACGCATGTCTTAATTAGTTTTTTTTTTGTTTTTTTTTACGAATTGGTCAAACCCAAACTCAAACAAAAACATTGTTTTCAATCATTATGAGTCTACCGATTGAATAAAATTTTATTATAAACAATTGCCTTGTAAATGGAATTTTTAAAGCATTCTGAATGTAAAAATAAAGAAAAAAGGTGTGCAAGACAATAAGAAACACTACATGCCAAAATAAAAAGTGAAGTTTTGTTGAAATCTGTTGAAAAATGTAGGAAATCCGATCCCATATTTAAACGAACACACACACACACACAAACAACCTGGGATTTTATAATAAGTATAACTTGATATGAGTTGTCCCCCTTTCATTCTCATGACAGCGATGCCTCTTAATCGTGTTTTCAAATTGATTTTTTCCAATTTTTGGCGCTGTCAGAAGTTTTGTTGAAATCGGTTTAAAAATGTAGGAAATCCGATTCAATATATAAATGTTACAGACACACACACAACCTAGGTTTTATAATAAGTATAATTATCAAAAAATTTGACAAAGAAGTATTGATTTTTCCTTGAACACGTTATTCAAAAATATATTCTATGATATTTACCACGTGAACTAAGATGAAAATAAATTGAGAAAGATATGGTATATAATTTTGTTTTTTGTGCAGGGGTACCTTGAAACATGTAATTTATTTTAAGGGTTACGCAAGGGTGAAAAAGGTTGAGAAACGCTGGTCTAGACGTTCCAGTTATTTCAAACAGTGAAATATTGTAATAAGACTTTATGCCGGTTGTTTCTAAAATCTCTCAATTGCTTAAAAAATATTTTGTTTACACTTGAAACACGAAAATAAATTTAACGGATATAGACTTCGAAATGCCCCAACGTGAGATGTACTTAAATAGGATAATTGTCTCGTTATTTACTGAAATGGCATCCGGGTTTCTTTTCCTCTCTTCTTTTTGTTCGTTCCATTTCATCGCTTCTCTATTTCTATCCTCTTCATTTTCCCCCTCTTTCTTCTCATCCCTTCGTCTCTTCTCTTTCTCTCTCCTCTACCTCCTTCTTCTTTCCTTTGTTTTTCCCTCTTTTTCTTTCTTCTTTCCTCTTCGCTTTTTCTCTTTTTCTCTCCTCCACTTCCTCCTTCTTTCCTTTGCTTTTCCCTCTTCCTCTTTCTTCTTTCCCATTCGCCTCTTTTTCTCTCCTCTACCTCCTTCTTCTTATCTTTTCTTTTCCATCTTCCTCTTTCTTCTTTCCCCTTCGCTACTTCACTTTTTCTCTCCTCTACCTCCTTCGTCTTTCCTTTACTTTCCCCTCTTCCTTTTTTCTTTTCGCCACTTATCTTTTTCTCTCCTCTACCTTCTCCTTCTTTCCTTTGCTTTTCTCTCTTTCTTTTTTCCCCTCATCCCGTCACCACTTCTCTTTTTCTCTCCTCTACCTCCACCTTCTTTCCTTTGCTTTTCCCTCTTTCTTCTTATCTCTTCTCTTTTCTCTCCTACCTCCTCCTTCTTTCCTTTGCTTTTCCCTCTTACTCTTTCTTCTTTCCCATTCGCTACTTCACTTTTTCTCTCCTCTACCTCCTTCTTTATTTACTTTCCCTCTTCCTCTTTCCCCTTCGCTACTTCTCTTTTCTCTCCTCTACCTTCTCCTTCTTTCCTTTACTTTCCCCTCTTTCTCTTTCTTCTTTCCCCTCCGCTTCTTCTCTTTTTCTCTCCTTCTTTCCTTTGCCTTTCTCCTCATCCCTTCGCCTCTTCTCTTTTTCTCTCCTACCTCCCCCTTCTTTCCTTTGCTTTTCCCTCTTTCTCTTTCTTCTTATCTCTTCTCCTCTTCTCTTTTTCTCTCCTACCTCCCCCTTCTTTCCTTTGCTTTTCCCTCTTTCTCTTTCTTCTTATCTCTTCTCCTCTTCTCTTTTTCTCTCCTACCTCCCCCTTCTTTCCTTTGCTTTTCCCTCTTTCTCTTTCTTCTTATCTCTTCTCCTCTTCTCTTTTTCTCTCCTACCTCCTCCTTCTTTCCTTTGCTTTTCCCTCTTCCTCTTTCTTCTTTCCCATTCGCTATTTCACTTTTTCTCTCCTCTACCTCCTTCTTTATTTACTTTCCCTCTTCCTCTTTCCCCTTCGCTACTTCTCTTTTCTCTCCTCTACCCGCTCCTTCTTTCCTTTACTTTCCCCTCTTGCTCTTTCTTCTTTCCCCTACGCCTCTTATCTTTTTCTCCCCAGTACCTCCTCCTTTCCTTTGATTTTCCCTCTTTCTCTTTCTTCTTTCTCCTTCGCTTCTTCTCTTTTTCTCCCCTCTAACTCCTTCTTCTTTCCTTTGCTTTTCCCTCTTCCTCTTTCTTCTTTCTCCTTCGCTTCTTCTCTTTTTCTCTCCTCTACCTCCTTCTTCTTTACTTTGCTTTTCCCTCTTCCACTTTCCTTTTCGCCTCTTCCCTTTTTCTCTCCTCTACCTCCTTCGTCTTTCCTTTACTTTCCCCTCTTCCTCTTTCCTTTTCGCCAATTCTCTTTTTCTCTCCTCTACGTCCTTCTTTCCTTTGCTTTTCCCTCTTCCTCTTTCTTCTTTCCCCTTCTCCTCTTCTTTTTTTCTCCCCAGTACCTCCTTCTTTCCTTTGATTTTCCCTCTTTCTCTTTCTTTTTATCCCTTCGCCTCTTCTCTTTTTCCCTCCTGCCTCCGCCTTCGTTCCTTTGCTTTTCCCTCTTCCTCTTTCTTCTTTCCCATTCGCTTCTTCTCTTTTTCTCTCCTCTACCTCTTTCTTTCCTTTGCTTTTCCCAACTTTCTTTTTTCTCCTCATCTCTTCGCCTCTTCTCTTTTTCTCTCCTCTACACCCTCCTTCTTTCCTTTGTTTTTCCCTCTTTCTCTTTCTTATTTTTTCTTCGCTTCTTCTCTTTTTCTCTCCTCTACCTCCTCCTTCTTTCCTTTACTTTCCCCTCTTCCTCTTTCCCCTTCGCTACTTCTCTTTTTCCCTCCTCTACCTCCTTCTTCTTTCCTTTGCTTTTCCCTCTTTCTTTTTTCTCCTCATCCCTTCGCCTCTTGTCTTTTTCTATCCTCTACCTCCTCCTTCTTTCCTTTGTTTTCCCCTCTTTGTCTTTCTTTTTCCTATTCGCTTCTTCTCTTTTTCTCTCTTCTACATCCTCCTTCTTTATTTACTTTTCCCTCTTCCTCTTTCTTCTTTCTCCTTCGCTTCTTTTTCTCTCCTCTATCTCCTTCTTTTTTTCTTTTGCTTTTCCCTCTTTCTCTTCTTCCCCCCTCTTTCTTATTTCATCTTCTTTTCCCAATCTTCCTCTTTCTTCTTGACCCTTCTTCTCTTTCTCTCCTTCTTCCTTTCTTTCTGTTTACGTTCTTCTCCTTTGCCCCTCTTACTATTTCTTTTTCATCTTTCCATTTTTTTATCTTTTCTCTTCTTCTTTCCTCTGCCCCCTCCTTCCTTTCTTTTCTTTTCCCGTCTTCCCTTTTCTTCTTTCCCCTTCTTCTCTTTCTCTTTTTTCCTCTTTCTTAATTCCACTCTTTTTCCCTCTCTTGCTTCTTCTTCTTCTTCTTCTTCTTCTTCTTCCTTTTCCATCGTCCATTTTTTCTTTCTCTTTTATTCTCTTCACTTTCCCTTCTCTCTTTCTTTTCTCCCTCTTCCTCTTTATTCTTCCCCTTCATTTCATCTTTTTCTCTCCTCTTCCTCTTGCCTTTTTCCATTTTTCCTCCTTTTCTTCTTCTTCGTCTCCCTTCTTTCATCTCCATTTTTCTCTTTCTTTCCTTCACTTCCTTTTTCTTCTTTCATATTCTCCCCTTCTCTTCATCTCTCTTTTTTCTTTTTATATTTCCCTATTTCTTCTTTCCTTTTTTTCTTTCTTCTTCTTGCTTCTTTCCTCTTATTATCTTCCTTTTCTCGTCTCCTCTTCCTCTTCTTCTTTTCCCTACTTTCCACTCTCTCTCTCTCTTTCTTTTTCGATCTTCTTTCTTTTCTCTTCTTTTATCCTCTATCTCTTTCTTCTCTAATCTTCGTCTTTTTTTTCTCTTACGTCCTCTTCTGCATCTTTCTTTCCTCTTCTTCGTCTTTTTTCATCCACCTCCTCTTTCCTTTTCCCTCCCCCTTTCTATTCATCTTTTTTTCCCTCTTTCTCTTTCCGGACTTTCTCTTCCTTTTTATCGTTCTCTTTTTCTCTTCTTCTCTCTTCTTTATCGTTCTTGTTTCCTCTCCCCCTCCCGCTTTCTTCTTTACCCTATCTCTTTCTTCTTTCCTCTTATTCTTGCTTTATTCTTCTTCTCTTCACTTTCTCCTCTCCTCTTCCCGCTCCTCCCTCTTCCTACTACTCCCTAATATTTCTTTACAACCCCACTCCCAAACGCAGCTGGCCCCTTACTTTATCTCCGATTGTCGGTAATTACCACGAACGTTCCACATCAAACCGCATCCTGGTGACCTTACTGATAAAATCAAACCCACACTAGTTACTTTAGTAATGTGTGCTCTCATTGTCTTGCTAAATAGTAGTGTGAGTAGAGACGGACCTTCTCATCGTAGCGTCGGGTGGAGGGGGCCATTAGTGGAGGTCCGTGGCAGCCCACCCACTAGGCCAAATGCATTTGGATGCCTATAAAAATGAAAACAAGGAAGAGAAAGAGAGGGAAAAACTTGTTAATGAACTCATGATTTATTTATTTATTTATTGAAACGGAAAGAAGGGAAAAAAGTTAAAGGTGGAATGAGTTTGAGAAAATAGGGAAGATGAAAGTGAAACGAGAAATAATTTAAAAATATATTAAATAAAAACAGGCGGAAAAAAAGAAAGAGTTAAAAGATGGAAGAAAATTTAAGATGGTAGGAGGAAAGACGGAAAGAAGAAAAAAGAATGAAGAAAACGATGATGGCACAAAGAAAGAAAGAAAATCGAAAATAAAGAAAATGGTTCCAAAAGAAAGAAAGAAAGAAAGAAAGAAAGAAAGAAAGAAAGAAAAAGAAAATAGGAAATAAAGAAAATGCTTCGAAAAGAAAGAAAGAAAGAATGAAAGAAACAAAGAAAGAAAGAAAGAAAAATAGAAAATGAAGAAAATGCTTCGAAAAGAAAAAAAGAAACAAAGAAAATAGAAAATAAAGAAAATGTTTAGAAAAGAAAGAAAGAAAAAGAAAGAAAAAGAAAGAAAGAAAATCGATAAAAAATGGTTGAAAAAGAAAGAAAGAAAAAATAAAGAAAATAGAAAATAAAAAAAATAGTTAGATAAGAAAGAAAGAAAAAATAAAGAAAGAAAAAGAAAGTAAATCGATAAAAAAATGGTTGAAAAAAAAGAAAGAAAGAAAGAAAGAAAGAAAAAATAAAGAAAATAGAAAATAAAGAAAATGTTTAGAAACGAAAGAAAGAAAAAATAAAGAGAGAAAAAAAAAGAAAAATGGTTGAAAACGAAAGAAAGAAAGAAAAAATAAAGAAAAAATAAAAATAAAATAGAAAATAAAGAAAATATTTAGAAAAGAAAGAAAATAGAAAGAAAAAGTAAGAAAATCGATAAAAAAAATGGTTGAAAAAGAAAGAAAGAAAAAATAAAGAAAGAAGAAAGAGCTATTACTAGAAAAGAAGCTGAAAAAAAGAAAAGAGGAAAAAAGAAAACAGATGAAGAAAGAAAAAGAGAAAGAAAGAATACGAAAGAGAAAAAGAAAGAAAAATAAGAAAGCGGAACACAAAGGAAAAGGAAAAAAAACCCCAGAAAATCAAAATACAGACAGAAAAGAATGACACCTGAGAAGAAGAAGAGCGAATAAAAAGACAATGAAAATAATTTTATCAGAAAAATCGAGATGATCAGAGACTGATCTCTCATTTGATCTAGCTCTTACAGCTCAAGAAGCAAAAAACTGGCATGTAACTTTGAATTCCTCAAAAAGAGTCTAACGTTCACTGTAGACCTCAAGGGGAACTCATATATCCGGTCTATCGCCGGAAATGCTGGCAAAATGATCGGCTAAATTTATCGTTCCAGAAAGAACCTGACTCCTTCTGACATGCTTTTATCTTTACAAAATTAGATTTAACGATAATGGCAATATTGCTGCGATATCTGGGCTGGAGATTTTTTTGGCTCATTCTGTTACCTAGAAAGTACCCTGCTTCTTTTGCCAAGTTTTATCTTTATAAGTATCAGTTTAGACAAAAATATTCGGTCTAGCCCAAAAAATATATATATATATATATATATATATATATATATATATATATATATATATATTTTTTTAAAAAAAATTATAACATAAGTATGTTATAAAATCACTACAAAATATAACACACTCAGAGTGTGTTGAAACAAAATAATTTTTAGTCTATTTTATATTATTCTTATGTTTTAATTTTTTTTAAAAATAATTATATCTGCTCTACTTTTGTATTGAGCACTCTTTTAAGAATAGTAATTGTTGGTTGTTGGAATTCATTCCGTGTATACCAATTATATACTTTGGTATATATATATATATATATATATATATATATATATAGAGAGAGAGAGAGAGAGAGAGAGAGAGGTACGTTCCGGCCTTCCTCGAGAAAACATGGCCTAGTGGATAAAAGCGTTGGTTGGATCCAGTGACTTGACCCAAAAGGTTGTGAGTTCAATACCTGGCTACTGCCATGCTGATTCTTTGGCGCTAGTCAACACGGTTCGAAGAACTGTAGTATTCACCAAGATTCATAGGTTACACTCGCCCAAAGCCATGTTTATTAATCTTAGAAAGCGATTGTATGTAGGAGACAGTTTATATATATATATATATATATATATATATATATATATATGAAGAAAAATTTGGAAAAAACAAACAAAAATTCTTAAATGCAATTATGTTGTTTAAAATGAATGAAATGTCGACGTCTGACGTTTCGGTTTAATAAACCTTTTTCAAGACAATATTCATTAAAATACAATTCAGTTCAATTTGACAAAGACGATGGACATAAACAACAAGTCTTACTACAACTACATCAATGAAAGATACAATTTCAGTTGCCTCTGATAATATTTCGTTTGGTCGCATCTTTCTACCAAATAACCATTTGACCGAACGTATCTCTCATAATCTAAATGCATTAAAAATTAGAACTACTATATTACCTACTAGGACTATCCGTAGTTTATTAAATAGCACCAGCAGACAACATATTACATCCGATGCTTGCATCTATCAAATATCATGAAAAAACTGTGACCTAAAATATGTGGGTGAAACAGGTAGGTCCTTAAAATCTCGTGTTTTCGAACATAAACGAGATATTCGTCTCGGTAATTTTAACAATGCTTTAGTTGGACACACAACTAAAGCAGATCATAATTTCGATTTCGATTCCGTGAAAGTATTAAAATATTTTCATAATAAAAATCTCAGGAGGATTTATAAAGCAGGTATAATATCCATCTTACGCACGGTGAATACTAGACCTGGTTTCTTTAATATTTCCCCTTTTTTAGCGAGATTAATGCTCGACAAGCATACACATAAAAATTTTAAATCCTAATAGAATTCTTTTCATTTTCTTTTTCATTCAAAATAATCAAAAATTTTTAGGAATACGTTTTGAAAGCGTCGCCCATGTGACGACAACGTGACCATGCTAAACGGAAAGCTGATCATTTAAAAAATTTTCAGTTATCTGTTTTGGATAAGACTTGTTTTTTATGTCCATCGTCTTTGTCAAATTGAACTGAACTGTATTTTAATGAATATTGTCCTGAAGAAGGTTTATTAAACCGAAACGTCAGACGTCGACATTTCATTCATTTTAAACAACATAATTGCATTTAAGGATTTTTGTTTGTTTTTTCCAAATTTTTCTTCATTCTGTCGGATCTATATCCATTTACATTTGCTTACACACACACACACACACACACACACACACACACACACACACATATATATATATATATATATATATATATATATATATATATAAAGACCAGTAAGATATATAATCCGTTCTTATTGATATTTTTTTATTTTTACAAAATTAGTGCTCAATGTAAATTTACAGAGCATAAATATTATAAATTAACTGATTTAAGATATGGTTTCTTCTCTACACAGTAATGATCGATCGAAAAAAATCGTCGAAGTTGTGTGATTATAAACAGCAATATGGACTTTGCTTCATTCTGAAGGGACGTGCCATCAGAAACGTTTGCGGGGGTGGGGGCGTGGAAAGCGGAATCTACGAGCCGAGTTCAAATTCCGACCGAATCACATGAATGTTCGGGAAAATTAACAGTAATAAGGCAAAGCAACAATAATATGTCAAAAAGTTTACAAACTAAGAATTAGAGTT